ATTTACTTGTTTTTATTAACTTTGCAAGTACAGTTGGATTGTGTACGAACGTAAATTGGTGTTCAATTGAGAGACAAAATCTGTTAATATCATGAGATATAAAATCTAGTATTATGGGTAATACATGTGGCGGAGAACCTAACGGGTTACCGGGGCTACAACTCGACATGCAGGAGAAGGAACGGGGTGGTTTTTAGTCAGTAAGAGTCTGGCACTGTCTCCCGCCTCACCCAGGCGGGAGTAGTCATTCGATGATTTTCCCCCCTTAAAAAAATGGGTAATACATAATCGGCGGGAACACATCTTCTGTCATATCTTACCCTTTTTTTTGAGAGGTTTTATCATAATGTCCACGTCAATCCACGTCTACAAATAAGGGTTAATTTCAAGTATGTTTTGTAATATACTTCTATATTTTCATTATGTTGTGGTTAAAAGTGGTTTTATTCCTATTGTACCTCTACAAACTGCGTTCTGATAGTTTTACCGTGGACATTGCAGTTTTAGAACATACCCAGGTCTGGAATCAGACTGAAATAAATAAACAAAATTACCACGATAATAAGACCACACACATAAGGGTACAATAACAAGTAAATGTGAAATGAATCAGCAGCCAGCAGTGAGACAAATATATCAAGAACAGTCGGCGACAGTATCAGTTGGTGGAACCCATTTGGAGAAAGAATCAATCCATTAGAAGGAGGGAGGCGACACCGCGCGCCGCGGTATCCACGGACCGATCTTAATGTGCTGCCGTAGTGATGCGCCTTCTTTTGACGTCGTTCGGCCTTGTAATTAGGTGTGAATACACTATTTCAAAGTGGATTTTCAATAGTTTTTTTTATATTCTGTCAGTGATTGTTATTGGTTGTGTGGTACCGCTGGTAGTTGTAACAATTTGATGATAAGTTTTTATGACCTGAATATTTTTTATATGAGAATGAAGGTTAGATTTACGCCAAATGTAATTTTATACTTTTTTATTAACTTGTGAACTTGTTTTAAATTGCTTAATATAGTAACTCTTGTAGACATTGAAGACATTTTGAAACTTAAATGTTATTTTTTTTCTCGTGACAGCTATCCCGTTAAGGCTACTTTTAACACATTTACCAATTATTACACTAATATCGACCCTCAAATAATCACAAGTCCCCACACTAAAACATTCCACGTTCTATCGGACAAGTTCGTTTGATGACGTACGATCTCCGACCGTCCGCGAATATTGCTATTCCAAATTTAAAATTGAATTTTACGTCGCGCTCCGTTGATTGGCATCGCGATGATTAGTGCTGGACACTTGATCGAATTTTTTATCGATATATTTTATGTATTGATAGCTGAATGGTGTTTTGTTTCTTGTTTCAATATTGTGTAATTACCACATTTCATAATACTATGTAATTATTCGACGACTTATGCCATAAATTTTGAATTTTCAACATTGTTTTCTTGACAGGCAAAATACGTCAACTTTAAAAACCTTTACGATTGTATTCTGGATGATTTAAGAATTGGTCGCCGGTCGATCTAGCCGGACCATTAAAGTTGTTTATAACAACTACATACCACCATGTCAAGGCTGACACTGCTAACTCTTGTAGAAAAAAAAACAAAATAAATAGTACTCAGCATCATTTAAAGGGTTTCAATCACACAAATAAATGAAACAGTACGTCCTCGACCTGGCCATAAACAAGAAGCTGACAAGAAAAATATCCTTCACGAAATACAACAACGATTTATTATAGAAAACATCGAACAAAGCCGCGAGCGGTCGCGAGTACCGAGACTAACAGTTTGATTTATCCTGGCCAAGGGGGGAAGGGGGAGGGGTATGTAATACGGTTACATTAAGATTAAAGAGAAAGTTGGAATATTTTAATAGGGTTCTATCTTATGATAGCATTGATTAGATTTTAAACAAAGTAACTTCTTAGTAACTTAAACAAACTATCTTTAGTTTGAACTAAGTAAAAGTTATCAGTAACACTTAATAATCCTGGTTAGAAGTTACTTAATGATACTTTTGACAATATTTGCCTGCTATGCTTACAAAACACTAAGAATTGGGGTTCAAACTTGTTTTGTTACTATCGTACTGTCAAAATAATAATGTTTTTGTCAGCTACACATTTGCATCATCATGAAAATATTATATGGATTGTCAGAAACTACAATATGATAAGTAAAGTGGAACAAATAATACATAACTCAAATATGAAATGAAACTAGGACAGCCCAAATGTTCCGAACCCGCCACAATATACGTACGAGCTAAACGGTGCTACGCGTGGGCGTAGACGCTACGGGCTACGCGCTACGAGCGTAGTAGCTACGGCGGCGCGTAGCAACGTTATTGTATATTTTGACGGCGGGCGTCTAGCAATCAGCTGATGCGTTTGTAGCAACGTAGATTGGTTTGTATTCTGCGTAGTGATTATATACTATGGGGATAATTGTTAGCAAAATGGATAGATTATTTTAATGCGCTATGATCGTTTTGAAAAAATATTTCCAAAACTCATTTTTTACGAATGAACTTTAAAAATAAAGAGTTGGATGACATTTTCTAATACAAAATACATAAACATGAAAAAGAATATCGTAGATAAACATTTAAATCATTAAATGTTGTGTGGAAACCACACATTAATCGATTAGTCGAACGTCTAACATAAGAAAACCAAAATTTAATATTCAACCTACACACTTACATAAAATAAAAAAGGTCTAAAACTTACATTTCTAACAATCCTTTTTTGTGGAAAGTTGAGGAGAAAATACTTTGTCATGAGAATGCACGTTTAGTAAATAGTAAGGTTTTGGTATGGACAGCTGGCGTGGAGACATTAATCAAGATAATGCGGGCTCGGGGATCAATCACATGCCGCGGAATACTAGCGTGACATTGTTCAAGGTCAGGCCTCTACTTAGGTAACCTAGGTTAGGTAGTAGATACGTGGTGGATTTGTGAACTAGTTAAGGTATGTTGGTTTAGGGCAGGTTTCTTTTGATGCATTTTAAATACTGTTAACTTTAATCAATCAGATCGAATTGGCTCCAAAAAAAGGCTGGGTGAGGAAAGCTTCGGCACGAATGGGCCGGCTCGACCGGAGTGATACCATAGCTTCACAAAAAACCGACGTGAAACAACGCTTGCGATTTGTTTTGTCGTGTTAGTGTGGTTCCCAATCCCCGATTCCCCCAATAATCCTCAAATTCTTAATCTCCGGTAACGCACTCAAAAGGCCGGTAACATACTTGTAACTCTGGTTTTTCAGGTGTCCATGGGCAGCGCCGATTACTTACCTTAGGTGATCCGTCTCCTCTTTTACTGGCAAATTCTGTAAAAAAGGAATAACTTTAATCAATGAAATCTGCTCTAAGTATTCTTCACCAATTTAAAAAACAAACACTTTGTCAGTTAAATAAACAAACGCAAGAAAGTTTTCCACAACACGACGAGCAGTTGCTGTAATACTAAATAATATCTCACATTTGTCTAGCTTACGCCAGTGTGAGCCTGCGTGAGCCAGTGTGAGCCTGCAGGCTTGCGGGAAAAGTCCCGCCTTTGAACCCGTCAACTGTATCTACTCATAAAAATAATATACACGTGAATCTCAGCTTTGTCGTCTGTACGTCACGTGGCAAAAGGGACATTATGAAAGGTGCACGTACCTTTAGGAGCATTTAGGCTTAGGTGTTCTACAGTAAGTACTAAGTGTTCAGGCTTTGGATTAACGTCGAGTTAGATGTTCTTAGTTCAAACAAGTTTTTATCAATTTCCTTATAAAATACTATTACGTTCCCACCTTTTATATAACCCACACACAAATATATAAAACGTAGCTTCTATACAAATGGGAAACTGGCACAAACCATTACGTTCAGTGAAATCAAACGACCGAATCACTAATCGCCGTGAATACAATTTGGTGGACATTTAAAAACGAATCAATGTTATCTATTCACGCGCCGGTGACATCGACACACATCAACTGTATCTATGGGTCAGTTATGTGACATGTAATTACAATTGTCATTGGTTATGGACATTTAGTATCAAGATACATGAAAGTCAGGGTCTGTAATAGTCATTAGCTTTAGAATTTTAGACTTTAAACTCTTATAATAAACATGCTTTGGATCTTAGTCAGTAAACGATCATCTACTTAAATTATGCGTGTATTCTTCTATTTTATAAAACCACAACGCAATGCCGACTGTAGACAATAAAATTTAAATCTATGAATAAATAATCTGCTTTGAAATAAACAAATAATTCTCAAAGAGGACACTGAAAGTTCCATCGTTAATATTCAATGAATAAAACTTGCTTTAAAGTACTTATTTTGTGTAAATGTATTCTGCTTCATATTTCTAAGGGAGTGCAACAGTAAATATACGAGAGCAATTTAATTCGTGGCGTGGAAATCGCAGCACAATATTATAGTTGAATAACATTTGTAATTAATTATACTTATCAAATAAAAGCTCTATCTTTTAAAAATATTAAAGAGTAAAGATCAGCAAACGTATAAAAATATTCATGAAGCATATTTTGTCTACGCAAACCAAATTTTATCACTCTAGCAACCGCCAGAAAAGGAAAACATATACAGGAAAACTGACAATCTCTAGAACATATTGAATTCACTAAATTGCTTATTCGCATTTCTAAAGTTGACGGGAATACTCGTGCCTTCCACTCTCGACTATTAAATTCCGAGATCATAAATCTAAGTTTAAGAAAACATCGACTTAGATAAGGATCCACAAAAATGTTGTTTCAATTACAAGAGATCATAATAACAATATTTCATGGCGCGCTGACAATGCGAGCATAACTCGAGCAAATTGTTAAAAACACAACCGTCAACCGTCAAGCGAATTCCAAGGAGGCATAAATCCTTTTCCGTCGGACTTTTTTAATAAGCATCAAGGTGTGGCGGGCGCGGGGTGGCGGGGCCGCGCGCGCTCGCCCAGACGCCCGCCTACGCGCGTCGCTGCGGACGTCTCCACGTCCCGCGCGCCCGTCACAGTTCGCCAGCGGTGGGCCGCGTGCCCGCCGCGCCGCCGCGACCTCACTATATGAACACTTTTCGTATTTTCTACCTATTTGTATTTAATATTAAGTTAAAGGTGAGTCAATATTTACGTATTAACTGCATTCTCTTTAGTTCCGTGCGTTTGCCGGCGCGTCCCTTAGTTTCGTTGCTTGGTTACTTCATTTTGTGTGATATTTGTGGAGTTGTTTTAGAATTCTTAATGTACGGGATATGGTTTAGTAAATATAATTTGCTTTAACATATTATTTATTTTTGTTTTTATTAATTAAATAATATATGTAATGTAACGCAAGCAGACAACGTATTATTTGTGTTCGCTTGCCATCTGCTGCCAATAAAATTAGCATTAGAATTAATTCTATGAACATTATCATGAAATTGTTGTCAGGAAATGTTCTAATTTAATTAATTACCTTGAAATTAAATCATGTTCTTTAAAAATTACGAGTGGCCAGCTTAAGTATCTCTTAATTAATTTATATCAATTAGCGCGGTCTTAAAAGCTCAAATCTTTGAGTGAAAATTATGGGCCTTTTGTGGGGTTGGGGAATTGTTGAAATTTGTCAAAACTGAATAAATAAATTTAATTAAAAAGTGATTGATTTAAATAATATTTTGGAATTTTGACGCTTGACGGATGCGGCGCGGTACACCGACGGCTATTTGTATTTCAGCCGTTTTATTACTAAATTGTTTTTAAGTGACTAGATAATATTACACATTTTTGTGTCTGAAGAGGTTGCTAGATGATATACATGCATTACCTACAGCCCTACTCCTACACGCAATATTTTAAGTATCTATATTATATTATGCAAATAAATTTAAAAGAGATTCGAGCTCTTTCATTTATTGTAAGCGTTAATACGTTTATAATAATATAGGTATTATAAATACATAATACAAATAAGATAAAATATTCAAGCAAAATCGAATTAATAGTTCGGATGTAGACTTTACTGTAGTCGCAAGTGCGAACACTAAAGAAGAGATCTTGGGTTCTTTATTAGGTAGGTTTTTAATCATCAACAGCCTAAAAATGCCCACTGCTGAGCACATGGAGAAGATTCAAGCATTAATCACCAGCTTGCTCAATATGGGTTGGCGATTTCAAACTTATAATTATAAATTATAAGTCCAGGTTTCCTCACGATGTTTTCTTTCACCGTTTGTCACCGGTGTTAAATAATATTAGAAGGTACACATGTACATATAACTCGGAAAGAATCACATTGGTACTTGCCGTTGGTAGGTTTCGAACCCGCACCCTCATCCATGAGAAGCAGAGAGAAGAAGAGAGAGAAGAAGTCTTAAACAGTTCGACAGTTTTCTTTAATACAAAACATTAATTTGTCGTAAATCTGAATAATTATATGTAGGATCTACACATACCTACACAACTACAGAACCCTAAAGATTGTTCTAAGATAAAGATAAATTAGACATTTTCACAGCCGATACGACAGTAAAACAATAAGCTTATTGAGAGTATACAGAGAGCGTTCACTAGACACCTTGCTTATAACACTGTTGGATTTTCTCACAGGAATCCCTATAAAGAGCGCTTGATTAGGTTTCAAATGCATTCTCTTCGCGAGCGAAGACTTTTGCTGGACATGACCTTCTTTCACAAAATCATAGGTGGTCATTACCGGTGTAGCTATTTTCTGGAGAGCATGCCTCTGCGTGTTCCGCGTGTCTATCCTCGAGGAAAACTTAAATACATTTTCTACATTCCACCGGTAAAGTCTAATTTGGGACGGCAGGCACCTCTCCGTAGAATAATTGATGAGTACCACTCCCTTATCTCAACAATACCCGATCTTGATGTGTTCCACGATAGATTAAGAGTATTTAGAGGCAGGATTATTGATGCACTATAGTATCGTTTGTTATTGTTGTTGTTGGTGCTGCTTGCTGCTTTGTACTTTGGCATCTGTTTTAGACTCTGACATTTCTTTAAATCATTGAAATTATATTGATTCTCATTTAATTTAATTGACATTTCTTTGAAATCTTGACGATAATTTGACATTTTATTATATTATATTTGTATTAAATTATTATTATTAGACTTAATATGGCATAGATCTAACTAATTTTTGTTGTTAATTTGTTTTGTTTTAATCAGACATCTTGTTAAATTCTCATTTTAATGTGTGTATGGTGTGGATTATTGCTGTTATTTTCTTTTCTATAATTCTTAAATTGGATATTATTTTTAAGCCACTGTTAAGCCTATGAATTGCCAGTGCTATGTACGCCATTATTGTCGCATGCATCAGACCTTTATTTTGTTACTATTGTGTATTTTGAATGTTATATGTTTGTGATGTGGCCGTACTCCTTCGAATAAATAAATAAATAAATAAAGCTTATGCTACTCAAGAAAAATTATAAAAAAATAAACAACATCGTTATTAATACACTACGTAACCACATAACTATGTAATAATAAAAATATTTGGTTCACAAATCGTACTGTCTACATAGCATTACGGACATAGTTAAGGAAAATTACCCATTTTACCCCCTTTGCCCTTGTCACTATTAAAATCAATGTTCGACATGAACCTTTCAATAAAAATAAAGAGTTACATTTAGGGGCCGACCGAGTATTTTGATTCCTTTCTTCCATATTATCTGCTCGACTATTATATTATAACTGGCTACTTTCGCGCGGTTTCACTCGCTCTACTCGGCGCCTATTAATCGTAGCGTGACATTTTATAGCCTATATCTTCCTCGATAAATGGGCTATCCAACACAGAAAGAATATTTCAAATCGAATAAGTAGTTTCGGAGATTAGCGCGTTCAAACAAACAAACAAACAAAAAAACAAACTCTTCAGCTTTATAATATTAGTATAGATGAAGTGCAGGAATAAAGATCTTTATAAGCTTCAAGCTCCCTTGTGCGTGCTAAGAAGTCGAATTCTTTGCCAGAGTTTGTATTGGCTGAAGGGTATAATCTAGGTGTCTTCAAGGCCCTAGTGAATAGGTTGCATATGGGACGACGTGCTCCATCGCAGACCGCATCATCGCTTACCACCAAGCGAGATAGTGCCAAATATAAAATATATCAAATATAAAAAAATCTTTTTGTTATTTCATTTTAGTCATTAGAAGTCTACTTACTGCCGATTACAATCACCGATCTTAATTCAAAATCCGTGGATTGAGATCGATTTTTGACACTAACAATTCTCGTATATAAGGCACAAACTACGTGTAAAAAAGTAGGTTGACTGTAACCCCCTTTTTTGAAGTCGGTTAATTATATATTAAAACCTTCTCCTAAGCGAAACCAACACTTTTCTCAATAGCCAGATACACATAAGTGAATAGGTTTCTTAAGGGTCGGCAAGACGCATGTAATGCCCCAAGTGTTGCAGGCGTACATAGGCCACGGTAACCGCTTACCGTCGTAGTATAAAAAAACAGTCATATAGATTATGATTCTCCATTTTAGTAGTGGTAAAAATTCTGCATTACATTGAAATTAGATTTTGAGAATCCAATATAATTACGGTTCTATTACTGTATACAATGCACATTAGACAAAATACAATATTTTCTCCATCTGACTTCTCACCGCTTAAATGTTTGTAAAAAATCCTATCACAAAACCGAACTAAATGCATTAAATCAATTGATGCGATGCAAAACCAAATGTGAACGTTGATTTTTATTGCAATTTTTACTTACTTACATATATACAATGTGCTACTACATATAGGTAGGTACCACAGTACATTTTACGCTTATCAAACCAATATAAAATCTATTTAACGTACAAGCTACCTACAACAATATCAACACCACGATACAAATTTCATGAAAACCCATTCATCAGTTTTGGAGCAAACACAACATCGATAAACAAACAATAATTTGACCCAAACACATTGAAGTCGACTGCAATACAATGGAGGTTGTATTCAAACGACAATAGGTAGGTACCCTTGTATTGAGCTAGTTGCGGCTCCGAATGGGAGAGGTTTAATTAATACGGTACTTGCCGAGCTAGTAACTTGTCACTATACTATAAAGCACATGTTTAACTATATTAGTATGGGCGTACAACGGGTGTAGAAATTGGGATAATCTGTTATAGAGTGTTTTAGAAATTTTCTATCTGTTATTATGTGACGATTCTTGAGGATGCTTCTTTTTTTACTGCTAGCTTTTTATATGTTTTGTCTTCTATTGTCAGGTTCAAAGCTAATAAAGGGACTTAATTTTGATTTTATAATCTACATTTGGCAATAAATACTTTTCATAATATGTGCAATATGGGTGAAGAAAACGAAATATATGAATTGATCAAATTGTCTAGTTTTGCGCCACAGAACATGTTTTATGATATGTTCTGTGCGTGTTCGCGATCGGTATTTATTTACTAGTAAACCATAGAGCTGACTGATTAAAAACTAGGTAAAAACTAAGTAGTATCTAGGAAACCTATACTTTATTGGTTAATACTACATCACATAATTATAACTATAGAACACCCGTGACTCCTCTGGTGTTTCGTACGTCTATGTGCGGCGTGAATTGCTTACTATCAGGTGATCCGTCTACTCCATAAAAACGAAGAACAGGCACAATTAATGTCTTAAGTCGCACTTGTAGTTTCTAAGCAACCGAAGCAACAATCTTACATTACAAATTCTGTAATATATAATCCAAAGTATTGTGTAAATGTATTGTTTGTTATTACATGAACAATACACAAAACATCGATACAACTCGGTCTCATCAAATATCGCCGGCGGCCATTTTACAAACCAATTTAATATCATGACCCGACCCGGGTCTGTACCGTAATGCTACTGCCATGCGAACCTTTAATGACAACTGGGCGGACTTATGCATATTATTTGGTAGACTTTTAACCCTAATCATTTGTATTAGAATTATCTTCTTTGAAACATTTAAAAATTACTGAAACTAGTTTGATAGCCTATGTGAAAGGACAGGTATGCTATCTACATTCTAAGGCCTTGATAATCGTAGAAAAGCAATCTGTTCCGATATTATCAATTAACTATTTTTACAATAACAAGAATC